TTGTAATCTATTATACAATGGCACTGTAAATAATATGTATGTGTTATCTATACAGGTTGCCAATGTTTTAAGATGGGTTTCCCTACTTTTCTCTGATTCTCAACCTTTTTTCTCTGGCTTTATAGCTACAAAAACTCAAATTCAGAAAATATAGACTTAAATTATTCTCGAAAAATGTTTTTAATTGCAAATGCATAATTGCTAATACAAGCTACATTCAAATTATTATTAAAGAGTTTGCCACAGAGGCATTTTCCTTGATTTTATCAAAGTTCAACCTAATTTATCTCATTATTCTCTGAGTCAATTTCTCATTAAACGGTTTTGTCGCAACTAATCTTGCATGAAAAAATATATAACAAATATATATAAAAATTTGTATAAACTTTCTGGATCTGGAAGGTCACAACCCATACTAACCAATTGATCTGACTGACGTTTTACAGATCCTCCTATCGCATCTGGTGCTTCCTTACCATATCCACTTTCAAAACAATTCCAACTGGCTAATTGAAATTTTAATTTGTATAGCATTGTTGAGAATAAGAAGAAGTTTTGCTTATTTCTATATTGCATGGTTGGTCCATCATTAAAAAAAATGAAGATCTGTAATTTTTGTGTTTCTAACCATTACTTTAATAAACTTTAGTGTTTTGTAAACAAAGTTTATGCATCTCCTAAACCCTTAAATTTATTTATAATTTTTTTTTTAAAGAGCAATAAAAAAAAAGTAAAGGAGTTCATTCACTTGGTACAGCTGAAAAACGGCTTCATAAAGAAGCTTGAAGAAAGTAGTCGGTTTTGTACAATTCAACAGTGTTGTAATCACGGTTTTGTTCACGTCATCCTTAGAAGTTATTCGTTAACAGCGACTCATTATTCTTAAATTAATAATTAAATTATAAACGTTATTTTTTATACAAATAAAAAGTTAACACATTACCTAATTTTGTAGCCGTAGTATATTAAAGTATAGAGATTGTCAACAATTGCTGGATACTTGTCTGAAAGTACGGGGTACGAGTATTTAGTTAAAAAATCTTGCCTTGCTAATTTAGTGCTGATTTTTTTTTTAATTTTTCAAAGCTTTAAAATTTTTAAGTATAACTTTATTTTTTAATCTTTTTTATTTTTAATTTTTTAATCTTCCCTTGTTCCGAACGACTAAAACTAATCTATGTGAAAATTGAATAATTTCAAAATAAAAGTCTTTGCTATCCAACTGCTAATTATTGTTAATTAAATTAATTAAATTAATTAAATTAATTAAATTAATTAAATTATTTAAATTAATTAAATTAATTAAATTATTTAAATTAATTAAATTAATTAAATTAATTAAATTATTTTGCGAACTAAAAGTTTATATTTTAGTTACGCAAATATATTTAGTTTCAATGAAAGATGTATTAATATATTTTAATTATAATATTTTGTATATTATTAATCTTCAATACTTAACTTGGTAATAAAGATAATCAAAATTATACACACACTCAATGATTGACGGTTATGATCAGGGTTTAGTCATAATTATTGTTTTGAAAATTGGCTGGCAAAGTATTATATTTTTATGTACTGTGTTGAGTTGTTATTTTTTTATTTTTTTAACATATTTTCCATCCCAAGGCCGAGAGCGCCACCAAAGTTGAGGAGACTATTTATTTTTATTTGGGAATAAATATTAAAATACGATTACTATTACGTCTAATTTTTGCTTTATTAAACTCAAAAGTTTCTTCGATTTTACGGGTCCGATATTCGGGATTGCTATTGATTTGCTTAAATAAATCCAAAGACCTTAGCAGCAAATGCAGAATATCGGAACCTTCAAAATAGAGAATCACTTGTGATTACCAAGCCAAAAATTAACCATGAAATGAAAAGTGGGAAGTCTTGAAGCTGTTCTCAACTGAGATGACGGTGGTAATACAAAAATAATGATTTGAGGACCACTTTGCAAAATTTTTTAACTAACTTCATTAGGTTATTATATAGTTAGTCTTTACATCTTTAAATAAAGATGTGTCATTACCATTTCAAACCTGGTTCCCAACTCCTGGGTACACGACTTTAAATACCGGTTCCAAGTGGTCGTTGCTAAGTATATTGTGCAACTTTTTTAAACAAAAGCTTATAAAATATATTTTTATGTATTTGCTTATCGCTTAATAGTTTTCGTTAATTTATCAGATTTTTAATTTGTTAACCTAATATTCCTCTTTTTTTAAAGTTTTTCGCTTGCTATAGACCAAGAAATTAAGTAAAACTAAAATATTCGGTAAGCCGACACATTTAGCGTTGATTTAAAACAGATTTAATAATAAAATTATTTTAATGTTTTTATTTACCCACCTTCTAAAAGTCAATGGACAACTTTGATCGGGTCATTATTTATCTCCATCATCATTTACGGACAGCCCCTAATGTATGTCTTATTATGCCATCTACTTAAATTAGTGTAGCACTTTTCTAGTTACTTTTTGAATTAGTATTTAGGATGCAATTTTGCATTGAAACAAATGAGCAATTTTATTATGTTACCTCGTCTAACGGATTTGTTTTCAAAATGCAATTTCGAGTTTTTATTTATGACAAACATTAGGCCATCCTATAATTTTTTTGATGACCAATTTATATGGAGAGGGCTAATGATTGGCGTAGAGGTCAAGTTTATCTGAGAAATTTTTGTAGTTTTTTAGTATTCGCGCCGGTCGTTTGAAGTTACGCATTTTGTAAAATTTGACGAAATTTGGGCACTTTTCATTTCAACATCGCGAATCGATTCTGATGTTGAATCCAATTAAACTTTTTATTTAAATTCTCTTCATGTGTTTCTGTACCAAAAATAAAACACTGTGCTTTTTGATTTAAAAAACATATGGTGTCTACCTTTCACTGATTTTGATAGAAAAATCAACATTTATGTTATTTCAAAAAGACTTTTTGTTGATCTTTGGGGTCATTTTCAGTCATGGTGCAATCTTCATTTTTTTTCACTTTATATTGGTATCAAACGATGATGTTTTTAAAAAAGTTACTGTTATTGGAACCTAAGATCAAACAAAGCCAAACTCAAAATCGTTACCCCAAAAGATTTGGTACAGGACTTTCAATATTTTGCTGTAGATTTGACTTGATCAAAATGTGTTGATATATTTCAAAAAAGTGTATATATTTTTATATGTGATTATTTTTAGTGCTCCGCAAATACCTAATAGTCTACAACGCCGAAAAGGAGGGAGAGGGGGAATCAGCATTATTAGAATCGGCATTTCTTGGTTGTTTCCCCTAATTTAATCCATAAGTATAAAATATAACATAAGTATATAATACTTTTATAATAAACTTACTTGTTCAATTGATAATAACAGAGTATTTACAGTTAACGTTTTTAAGAAACTCTTTATTTTATAAGCAAGGCCGTAGACAGCTTTGTTAGTGTTTGAGATTTTCCAGATATGGTGGACACTCCAAACATTTATACTTTCATATTTACGTCAAATAAAAATACTTTGTTAAAAATTACGATGATTAGAGTCTGGGAAAAAAAATTCTCTCAAACGTTAGCCCCCCTGGCCGTAACGTGAGAGCAACAAGTAAACAAAATATTAATTTCAACTAATAATAACTCGACAAATTTTTAATTTCATGCCCTAGCCGCTACCCTAGTCCAGCACTGGATCAACTTACTTTATAATAGCGTGCTTTGTCGGATTTATTTTCCGGAAACCAAACTGTGCATTAAATGATGCACAGTTTATAATATTAAATGACTAAAAAATCTATTATACATGAAACATTCAAATTAAAAAAAAACATATAGTACAGATATAGGTTAGAAACGTCAAAAATAATAAACAATTTTATATGTTAGTACAACTTTGACTACTTTTATCTGGTAATATTCCTTCATTTATTGATTGTTTTAATAATGGAAACAAAGGTTTGATAATCTTTTTTGTTTGAAATTACAACATTGTTTGATAATTTATCAAAGGCTGGCGATTTATTAAGTTTAAGAAAAGAAATAAAATACTCGATTTCGTTAGGGCATTCTCAGAGAGAGAATTGGTATTAAAGAAATCTAAACAGGTTTCAAATAAAATATTTGGTGGTATAACTTGATTTATTAGGTTTGGGTAAATTAGTAAAGTAATTGTTGAACTTTTTCAAGATTAATTGGTCAGTATATATCAGTATTAATAATAGTGTAATAACATAGGAGCGGTGATGAATTTACCTTATTTTGACCCATTAATTACATTATTATTACAGGGGCATTAATGACCATTATTTACATTCCATAGCTTTCTTATATCAGATTTACAATTAGTAATTTTTTTACTATTGAATTATTTTTATTATTTTTTGAGAAAACTTTCATAAAAATGTTTATAGTTTTTGTATTTAACTTCATTTGCAATATTTCCATTTTATAGAAATTTGTTAAAATGCTTTTTTTCCGTTCATTTTAATAGCATTATGGTCATCCATGCATTAGTAAATGTTTTTGTTTTAGTGCAGTCATATGGTACATACTTTGTGCTACTTAGGGTAAAAGCATGAAATTTAGTGGACATGTTTATAAGGTTAAGACATTCATTTTAAGACCCAGACCCACTTTCAAAATAACTCCTGATGGTCTTCAGGGAAACTAGCACTTGTTCAATGCAAAGAAATTTTTTTTTGTTCAAAATCTAATATTTTATATACCAATCGAAAGTTAAAAAAAAAATGAAACAAAAAATATAAAAACACTATATGGAAAAAATTAACTAATAACAGGGCTTTAAAACGTTATAAATCCAAGGGTTAAAAGAGATACGAAGTTGTGCGAGCAAAAATAAATTACAATTACTTTTTGAAAAAAACAACTATTTACAAACTTTTTAAAATTCTTTTAAAAATTTTTAAAAATCTTTTAAAATATAAAATCATAATTTTTATATAATTTTTATTCTTACGTTTTAAAAAAATTTAATCAGAGCAACAAGTTTTAACTTACCTCTTAAAAATTGTAAAAAATTTATTAATCCTTTGAAAATGCACGCTTGGAATAAAAAAGGAGATTTTGTTTTATGATATAATTGTTCTAGCAAACATGCATCCCATCATATGTGGTTTGTTGAAGGTGGTAAATATGATTTTTATCACATTTGTTTATTAGAAAATTATCTTATGCACATTTAGGGGCGGCTTTTGGTGGTGCCCAGATTGTGCGCTGCACGAGGAGGCTAAGAGCAAGTTTTGCACAAGGAGGCCAGAAGGCTACTGTGTTCATTCAAAACTCTGAATTCTAATACTAAAATTTGCGTTAAAAAAAACTGGAGCAATATAGCGCAGTGGTAACGCACTAGCCTCAAAAAGCAATGTGTTCGTGGTTCAAATTCACCTCTAGGCAAGTTTTTCAACATCGGTTAAAAAAGAGACGTGAACTTTTAATTAAATGCTCTTCTGTGGTGCTCTACGATAAGACCATAAGAACTTCTTGAAGAACCTAAAATAAAAAACAATAAAAAGTTTTTGGATTTGTTTGATGCGTAATTTAAATGAGTTTAAATTGCGCATCAAAAAAATTTAAAGTTTAAATTATATATAAAAAATATAGCAAGTAAAATAAATAAATGACGTTAAAGAGCAGATTTGTTTAATTTTTTTTAATTGACCTGTGTTTGTATTGTTAGAGGAAGCCGACTGAGAGTTTAATTTTTCCAGGAAATGTTTAAAAAAAAACACGATTCTAGAACTACAATGAAAAAGTCATCATAAACGTAGAAAAACAAGAAAGACTGGCAAGTCATCAAATACAAAAATATTTAATAATGTAGATACAAATAATCTAAAGGAAAAATATACTCGGCATAATGCAAAGTTTTATAAGTTGTGTAATAACAAATTTAGCGATATGAAATTTGAAACGACTCAAAAACATGTACTACTAAACCAGCAAGTGAACAAGAAGAAAAATGATGGTTTCGAGCATATTTTTTTGGCTGTATATCTCTAGAGCTGTTTACCAGACTTTGTATTCGAGCATTATTTTTTAACTGCATATCTCTAGAGCTGTTTACCAGACTTTGTATTGCTGAACCCAATTGTTGATAAGAATTCATTATTACCTAACCCATGTGAGTAGGGTTAGATTATGAAAAACAAAGTTGATAAAATTGTTCAGATAACAATTCTTAAAGCTTCCAAAATGTGCAGTCAATTAATAAGATGTGGCTGCTAAATAGAGAAAGGCTGTAGAGTTCTTTGTAAGGGGCCTTCCGTAAAGGTCATGCAGATAGAGGGTGAGAGGGTTTATAAAATACGGGGCTTAAATATTTATAGAAAATTTTAGAGGGTAAATTTTGATATATAAAACTGCGTTTTTAACTAGTTATTGAATAATAAAATTAAACATATTAGTATTATTTTAAATTTTATTTTTTGAATTTTAGAAAGGTTAACTATGTTATAAAAGCATGCAAGTATAATTAAAAGAAACGGTTGAGTATACAAATATAACAATATTACCCCCTGATTTTTAAGTTTTAAAGCCCTGCTACTCGTTACCGATTTAATTTTAACTTATTGTGTTTTAATATTTTTTGCTTTAACAAGCTTTCGATTGAAGAATGAAATTTTTTTTCAATTTTTTTTTTTGTTTTTACTGACATGATCTAGTTACCAGACAGTTGGAGCCATTTAGGAACTGGGTCTGAGTCCAAAAATGAGTATTTCAATATAGTCAACATCTAGGCCAAGTTTCATGCTTTTACCATTCAAATTATGTGCGTAAATATCAAACAAGCCACATCAAATGCTTCCAGAGGTTTTGCGGTCAACAAGTTTCTCTACGCAGCGGCCATGTTTTGGAGTTAAAAAGTTAAGTAAAAATTTGCAGCCTACACAACGTTTAACTATTAATTTGAACTTAAAATTAGATGTTTACCTATTTTAAGATACATTTTAGTGAGAAATTCAAATTGAAAAATTCCTTTCACATAAAATTTTTTATAAAGAAAATTCCTTTTATTTTATAAGGAAAATTTATCTAAATCTTACTATTAATTACTGCGGCGACTATATTTGGCTACTTTATAGTATTTTTAGGACTTTTTTTAAATAATGAGGTTATTATATATTCTCAAGTAGTAGTTGATAAAAAGCACTCTTTTTAACAGAGATATAACCGTTAAACGGTTCAATGCAGGCGTAGATTTTATCACTAGCTAAGGAGGAGAGGGCGATTAGGTCTGAAAAACTCAACATAAGTAACAATTTTTTCATGATTTTCTCCACTTCTCAATTTCTAAAGAAGTTCTTAAATTTCGGCATAAAAAAAAGTAGGAGAGGGGAATCCCTGAATCCCCCCTCCCCCCTTTTTGTGTCAACGGCTTATAGGCTGTTTTAGCCTAATAATCAAGTTTATACATGTATAATAGTCAATTTTATTCATCAGTATAATAGTCAATTTAGATTAGAATATTTCTAAAAAATAGTTCTAAGGGGACTAACCCCTACTTATCGCTTATGCAGACTTACCGCTAGTACCCCCATAGACCCACGCCCTTAAACCCACCACTGGTTCAATGAGGTACTTGGTAACAGTTTTATAAATTATAAGGTTCATACCGTAAATTTAATGGAATTTAAGATTAATATTATTCAATTTCAGGTGGATGTCACTCAAACTTTTTTTTAAGGCTATATAGTTTAAACGCGTTATAATGAGAAATTGATATAATATATGTTTATATAAAGGAAGAAAAAGTATATATAGAAGATTCAGTTAAAAACTACGATTTAAGATTAACTCAAATAATACTTTTATACATAATTTAATATATAATAAAAGTTAACTTAATACAAACTTAGAAGAAATCATTAAAATATCTCCCCAATTTTAAATATATAGGAATGATCATTTACACGCATTATTCACGAAAAAAACAAAAGCTTTAATGTGGCACACATTTATTTGGACTGAATGCAATTAGTATTTCAAGTTAAAGATAAACGTTTTCTTTACATCACAAAATACACAAAATATAAATGTCACATTTATTATATATATATATATATATATTTATATATATATATATATATATATATATATATATATATATATATATATATATATATATATATATATATATATATATATATATATATATATATATATATATATATATATATATATATATATAACATCAACCCTCGGAATTAGAAAAACTAAAATCGGCAAAAAATCGCCGTTCTCAAACGCTTTTAGGTCGGCAGTTAGGTCGGCATTGCCGAAGACTGACCCTAATATCAAAGGTTGTTTTAAATATATATATTTATAAATATAAACATTCATATATATATATATATATATATATATATATATATATATATATATATATATATATATATATATATATATATATATATATATGTATATATATATATCTATATATATATATATATACATATATATATATATATATATATATATATATATATATATATATATATATATATATATATATATATATATATATATATATACATATATATATATATAATCTATTTGTAGAATGTACTAACATTAATTTATGTATACAAAATAAAATTATAAAAACAAAAAATAAAATATCATTTAAACAAGATAAATCACTAGAAGAATAATAGAAAAAACACATCAACCTTAGTTTCTTTTTCTGGAGCTGTACTTTGTCGCTTCATACTTTTTAATTTGTCATGCTTGCCTTGGTGAGCAATTAATGCTACTAGTTGGTGATTTTTCAATCATAGATTTTACTCGGCTGTATGAAATATTTTGATTGCTACTGTCAGCAAACAAAGAATTTAAAGACGTTGCTTCATCTTTACTCCAAAATTTTTTGGGAGAATTAAAAGACTGATATACATTTTTAACATCCAAAAAAGTTTTTTCCGTTTTTAAAGGTGACAATCTCATATTTTCTCTAACTATAATTCCTCCTTTAACAGCACGTTCTAGCTGATTTGTTGTAGAATAGTGAATAGCTGCAGTTTTTTCACTGTGGCTCAAAGAATCGGCCACAACACCTCTATCACTATAATAAATACTATTTTCATCATTAACTATTGTTGATGCTGTTTTTCGTATGAGATTTGCAGTTAGCTTTTTTAAAATTACTCGACCATCAAAAATCCCAGCTTTTAACCATAAGGAATGCAATCTTTCGCTGATGTCCCCAGAAGTCATTTCATTTCCTGACCGTGACAAAAAAGCCTTGTCTGAGCTAACATTTGGCAATTTTGGCCTCACAAAGTTAACAAACATTTCAACCCATTTAAAATCTATTGGAGGAAGTGTAACACGAGCAGGACCATATTTTGCTACAGTTTTGTGGTCCCACGCATTAATCATGCTGATACCATTATCTAAACCTTTTAATTTGTTATATTCCTCAATACTCATATGAGATGTTACACCAGATCTATATGCGCCAGAAAAGTGAATAATAAAAAAAAACATGGTCACGATAAGAACAATACTCAAACTTAGGTTTAATATTATCAATTTTTAATGATTCCTGCAGCTCTTTGGCAAATAAAGCATTTTTGCTATTTCCATTCATTTTTATTTTAGCAGGAGTGACTAACATTTTAAAGTCATCTTCAGCTTTTTTATGTTTTTGCAAACCTTCTTTGGCTTTAAATTTCTTTTTCCAATTTTCAATGTTTATTATTGCTTCATGAACATTTTCGATAGGCAGGTTTGGAATTTTGTTTCTAGAAGCAACAAGAAATGGACTAAAGTCTTTTAACGAGTTTAAATATGTTTTTATTGACCCGGCTCCCAACTTTCGTTTAATGCTATGTAACTGAAGATATTGATGTCGAATAATATCGGTATTATTTTCAAATATAACATTAATGGATGATGTTATATTTACCGCTAATAGAATTCTTTTAACATCATCCTTAACTCTTTCAATTGATCTTCCACTGCGAGCTCTGTCTGGACCTGTATAAAAGTTATAAAAATCATCGAGTAAAGATTCAACATATGGACTTAGTTTAACTTTAATTGGTTCAACTGAGTTTATTTCGGTTTCATATTCAGATATCAGATAGTCACTATCATTGCCATCATTTTCCTCATTAGCCACATCATCATTGTCATAATCAGTATTTTCCAATTCAGATTTAGTGTTAAAAGATGCCAATTGAGGTAATGCAGACATTTTTATAGTGAGTATATCATTAGCTTTTCGAGGTAACCCAGAGTTGTCAGCAATTAAAGGATTTGGGATATTTAAAGACAAGCTATTATCAAAAGAGTTTCTTGATGATAAAGATTTAAATTTTAGAAGAGTTTTTTTTGGAGATTCGGAACTCAACTTTACTTCTTTATATACAGCAGCAAGCTTTAAAAAAGCATAACATTCCTTTTTAGGTTTTAAATTGTGAGCCTTACATTTTAGATGCTCACCGATATTTTTTGTAACTTTAAAACAATTTAACACTGGGCACATTTTTAATTTATGGTAGTTTTTGCATTTTAAGGGAGAAGACTTTTTTTATATGGTTTTCTTAATCTATAAACTTCAATAACACTTTTGGCACTTTCTGCAGACCACATATGCTTATGTGTTAAATGATCAGGTAGATCCAAAACGAAAATACAGCAAACCGGACAGTTTTTCATATACTGCTTTCTAACAACAAATGGTATCATTTTAAAACATTTTAATAACATAAATAATATAAGCAACATAATATAATAAACAAAAACTTCCTTAAATTTTAAAATTATTATTATATAATACAAATAATACTTATTATTATATAATACAATTAATAAATATATTTAATGCATTTTACCAGAATTACAAAAATGTTGACTTACTTTGAAATGGAATTTTTAAGAGCCTTTCCTGAAGCCTTTTCTTCACTAAAATTTAAGCGAAGATTTAATCAAATGACATTATTTATTATTCTGTAATCTATTGTTTTTAAGTAATTTAATTTAAAGATAAGAAAGTTAAAAATAACATTTACTTACTTACTAATTTTAGAAGAAATTGCTGTTTTAATATAATATCAATTTGGAGATGAGAAAGTTAAAAACCTCACGTTTACTTACATTGAAGTTGGAATTTCAGAAGAAAATGCTTCTGAGCTAATAACATCTGAGCGTTTAGGAGCTGCTACAGGCACTGAAATTCCTTCATTATTTGACTTCAAACTAAATTAAAATCAAGAAATATTATTTGTTTTATTACTGAATCTATTCCTTTTTCTTTACCTCGATTTTAAAAGAGACAAACCTTTTCAAAGGTTTCACATGAACTTACTTCAATATCGGAAACTCCAAATCACCAACTTCTGCAAGAGTTACACATGAACTTACAGGAACCTTTACAAATTTTTCCAAATTCAATACAGTCTCATTATCTAATAAGCTAAAAAAAGTCAAATATATTGAAATTTAATGCTCCTGACCCTATTATTTATTCATTATTTTATTTGACACCACGATATTCAAGTAATTTTTACTTTTAAGTTTTATTAACTTACTCTAAGGTGCTTAATGCAAGGGAAGATATTTCTTAATTTTCTGAACATTTTTTCACCACCCTAAGCTTTTTATGATCCTTCCTTCCCCCCTATTTATAAATTTTCACTTGATATCAACAAAAAATCATTTCTCTAAACTAAAACAAACAAACAGTAAAAATGGCCAATAAAATTAGAAAATATATACAAGTCAAATAACTTTCTGTGTAAACAGGCTATAAGGGTTATTTTGCATAGGTTGTTTACCTATGCAAAATTTTTTGTAAATCATGAATAAGCATTTCGTTTATTCCCACCCACATATTTTATTAATCCCCACCCCCTTAAAAGATCTGGGCTTAGTCAATCTTTCATCTCCAAGGTGATGGAAGGTTGACTTAGTCAACCTTCCATCACCTTGCACCTTCTAAAGTAACTTAAACTAGTGCTAAAGCACCAAGTAAGTTAAAAAACTTTAAGTAAGTTACAGCACCTTCTAAAGTAACTTCACTTAACTACTTCAAAAATTATTTTCCAGAAAACATTGTTTTTTTAACTGGCACTTATAATTCTTCAAAACTTGAGATATTTTCTTAAATAGTCAAGCTAAAACAAATCAAAGAACATTACTAAAGGTTTTCTATAATCAAAGCATAAATAGAAAGTTATGTTAGCTTACTTTAACATTTTTGAAACTTTAGTTTTTAATTCTGAAACCTCTGCAATTTTTTCAATTTCTATATTTCTTTTTTATTCTTTGTTCTTTTTGGACTTATGTGAAACTCAATATCTTCATCTTCGTCAAAGCTAAAATTAGATTTTTTTTTATAAACTCCCATCTTCTTGCGCTATTAAAAATATTTAAAGCCCAAACTATATCTATTATATCAATAATAGATTCAATCTTTTATTATATCCCAAAAGACAACATTTTTTTTTTTATTATTATTATTTGTGTAATGAAACTATTTTGTAACAAATAAAGCATGAATTTATGTAGGTACAAATACAGTTGAAATAAGATAAAAATATATACAAATATAAATACATAGATACAAATGCAGTTGAAAAACATATAGAATTTTTTTCAATATTTTACTGAAGTTTAATAATCTATGTGTTTTATAAATTAAATGTAAATTTAGGTTAAATAAAAAAAATTAACATATAGCCTAATCTGTGACTTTTCATTTTGCAAAATTTGTTAAAAAGTATCATTTTTATATAATATTTAATACATCATTTCAAAACAGATATTGCAGAATTGAAACAAGAAATGCAATGCTTAACAAAGTTTTTATTTGAGTTTTTTGAAATAGTTCTTCATTACAATATCCAATAAAAAAAAATACAAGAGGTGGCAATATTGACATAATTCAAAAATTGACTAATAAACAAAGAGTTAAAAAACATTTTTAGTTTCTTCTGTTAAGAATTAAAGGATATAAGATTTCTTTATCATAATTTTATTGTTATATATTTTTTAACTACCGCAATACTATCCGCAACAGAAAACTTTAAAAAACCATTAAGTAGAATCATTTCAGATATATAAGTACTCTTTAACCACTTCTATATAGTAGCGTTTACAACCACTTTGATGAAAAACATCATATGTTTCATCATACGTCATATTATATTTTTTAAGTATAATGTAAGGTTTTTGCTTTATTATTTATGATTTTTATATTTTACTTTAAATACACACACTTAGAAAATGACTTGAATCTTTAAATAAAATATGACAATAAAAATACAACATCCAAAGGACTAAAAATGTTAAGGTTTTTAAATGTTAATAGATTAACTTTGAGCACCTTTTTTAATGATATTTAAAAATTAACTTTTGTGCAAAATTTTAAAAAACCTGTTCCTTTTTTACACCTTAATTACATTTAGAGTAAAAGATTTTAATCTCATTTAAGGTAAAAAGGTAAAACTATTACATTATTGACATATAATTTAGCTTAACGACAAAATAGTCGTTAATTTACAAGTCAATTGTAAAATATGAATAACAAAGCTTACTTTTCATATACTTATATATATTTATATATATATATATATATATATATATATATATATATATATATATATATATATATATATATATATATATATATATATATATATATAATATATATGACACTTTTAAATAGTTGGAATTCAATGCAAGTTAGCTTGTTAACAAAACTGTCCTAAAAGCATGCCCCACAGATGCCAAGCGGTTATTGATGCAAAAGGCTATGCAACCAAGTAATAAAAATTATTATAATATTTAAAAACTTATTTAGTTTTAATTGTAACAAGAGAAAATGTAAATATATATATATATATATATATATATATATATGTATATATATATATATATATATATATATATATATATATATATATATATATATATATATATATATATATATATATATATATATATATATATATATATATATATATATATATATACAGAGCCGGCGCTAGGGTATTTGGCGTCCTAGGCAAAAAAAATTCAACTCCCCCCCCCCCCCTCCTCCGAAAAAAAATATTTTAATTTGAAAGAGCAAAATCATAAATATTAATTTTATTTAAAATGGCATAAACATTATAAAATGGTGGACATATTTAAGTATTAAATATTTATTTTTGACATTTTAGGATTTCAGCCACTCAACTTTTATTCACAAGAAAAAAAATATTTGAGATTTTATGACATTCAAAGAATAAAAGTAATATTTAATAGAATTAATGAAGACTATTCCTAATATTTAATCACACCAAAATAATAATAATTAACCTAGCTTATCTCAAGAAATAATAATAAGTAATAATCTAGAATTAACAATAAAAATTGAAAACTTGGAATATAATATAGTTACAAAGAATAAAAAACTTGTTTCTGATTTGATGTTTAAATTATTAGAGAATTTAAATTTCAGAAACTAGAAAGTTCATTTGTATTTTGAAAATATGTAATAATAAAAATAGAAGCATATTTAAATTTTTATTTTTCTGGCTTTTTTTGTTGCAAATGTTTTTACAATTTCTTTCAAATTTAATATTGATGATTCTTCGTGTTCTATCGAAATTATTGATAATCCCACCAGTCGTTCTTGTAACATTGTCAACCTCAAATAATTTTTAATTATTTTTAACTTCGAAAAACTTCGCTCGCCACTTGCAACGGACACTGGAAGTGTTAATAGTATTCTTAAAGAAGTACATGTATTTGGTAGACAGTCAATTAAACGTTGTTCAACTATAAAAGTTAGTACTTCATGTGGTGTCATTTGTTGTGGGAGTTTTCCAGAAAGTACTTTGATTTCATTACAAAGATCCGCTGCACTAATATCTTTTTGACAACCATGAGTTAAAATTTCTTCTAGATTTCGACAATTTTTCAATAATTCTGCTGAAGATTTTGAACTTATAGAATAAATATCATGAAGGAAGCCAAACATAATATTATACTGTCGCATTTGTTCAAACCTTTCCGCAATAGACTGTATAGCAGTGTCTAAAATTTTAAAATAAAATTCAACTTTAAATTTTTCTTTTGGATCTTGCAACGCTTCATCTTGTGTTTCATAATCGAACTGTCGCTTTTTTCTCCTTCTCCCGACATGTTTTTCTTCAAAATTTGTTACTGTTTCTAATTCTTTTGCAATTTCAGCAGCATCAACAATAATTCTTTGAAAGCCTTCATCATTTCTCATTTTTACAAGTTTGTTTTTAGTAATATTTAATTGTTGTGTAGCTACATTCAAATCAACTTTCTTATTTTGTAATATTTTATTAGAAATATTAACTTCAAAAAGAATGTCGTACCATGAAACAAGGGCAACCATGAACTTGAATATGCAAATAGAAATTGCAAGCTCTTTAGCCTCATTTCGGGAAGAATTTCCTTCTGATGTAGTTTGTAATCTTGGATCCTCAAATATTTGCATTAAAGCATCGTAAATTTTTCCGAGATTGTATCGTAATGGTTTTAAAGCATTAATGCGGCTTTCCCATCTTGTATCATTTAATGACTTGACAGTAAAATCTGGAAAATAGCTACAAAAAACTTGCCAACGAGAAGGTGATCCCGAAAAATAACTATAAATCTGTTGCACCACACCAAAAAAACTTACAGCATCTAAGCTACACTTGCATCCATCATTCACAACTAAGTTTAGTGAATGTGCGCTGCATGGAATAAAAAACGCCCGAGGATTTATATCAAAAATTTTTCTTTGTTACTAATTCTCCTTACCCTTCATGTTGCTTCCGTTATCGTATCCTTGTCCACGGAGATTTTCAATTGGAAAATTAAAATTTTCCAATTGTTCAATTAATGTTTTTGCCAAAAAACCACCTGTAGATTTCTCCACAGGTATGAATCCTAAGAAATGTTCTTTAATTTTAACTAAATCCCCATCATGTGATGTTGGTGATTCTAAATCAACAAAACGAATTATTATTGTCATTTGTTCTGTATGGCTATTATCTGGGGTGCAGTCTAAAATAATAGAATAATATTTAGCAAATTTTACTTTAGTCAAAATATTATCTTTTATAGCATTTGCTAGTATTTGTATTAATTCGTTTTGAATGTCTATTCCAAGATAATGAGCAATTTTAATTTCTTGATTTTTAATTTTTCGCACATGTTCATTCATTAATGTGTCAAATAAAGCGAGATACTCAACAAATTTTAAAAAATTACCATTGGCGTTATTGTAAAGCTTTTCATTTGTTCCACGAAATGCCAAGTTTTGCGTAGCCAATACTCTGACTAAGACAATCAATCTTTCTAAAATTCTTTGCCAATATTGTTATTTTTCATTAACTTTTTGTTGTTTAATATGATCAATGGTTTTTTCTGTAGATAAACATATACCAAGTTCTTTCCACATTTGAAAATTTACGAGATGTGAATTACTTTTTTCATGAGAAGAAAGAAGTGCTCCACTATTCTTCCAATCGTTTAAACCTTCTAAAGCCGGCAAACTACTTTTGTTTTTACCAAATAATTTACAACATAAACAAAAAACTACATTTTTTGAAACTGAATATATAAGCCAAGAGCGAGAGACTTCTTCTCCATTTGGTAATGTCCGCTTGTAATAGATTTATGAAAATTTTCTTTTTTGGTTTATCTCGATCTCGTGGAAAGTTATATTTTTCAATTTGTTTTGGTCTATTTTTTATAACAAATTGCCAAAAATTGTCACTAAAATGGGTAGGCCAATTTGCAGGGTCACTCTAGTCTGCAGATGATAATATGCTAATCTGAGTTTCAGTTTCAATTTGTCTTGAAATATTAACAGCAGGAGTTGCTTCAGGTAGATAAATTTGGTTTTTATTGATATTTACAACTTCATTTTGTTGATTTGAAATATAAGCATTATTAACAGTTTTATCGTCAACTATCACTTTAGATTTTTTACTCACACCGCTATCGCTTTCAGTAGCAGAATCAGTACCTGTAAAATGTGTTTCTGCACGAAAATATTTTAAAATAGCTTTTCTTTGACTTTCTTTATTTTTCTTTACTGATAGTCTCTTTTTCTCAGACATGGTTAAAAAACGTAAGAAATGTGTAATTATAAAATATTTACTTATTACTTGCTAGCGTACAATAGTAGAATTGAAGTAATACTCTACCTTTTCAATCGATAAGAAAACTGTCAGTTAAATACTTATTATAAATAAAA